TTAGTATTTTTTATCGTGGAAGTGAAAGTTCTGCATAGTTGTTCGCAGACAGATAGTTTACACTAAAGATGTTCAGATGCAGCCCTCCGCAATCTAAAACTCTTTGAAAGTCGACGCGTTTACTTCTAATTCGCGTTTGTATCGAACCTGTTGTATATTCTTTAGAGGTCGGTGCAGTAGTTGGTGAACTGCCTGTGGAACTACGCATACTGCAGCTTTCGAGAACCCTAGCAGTCGGAGGCAGGCAGATACTGCGGCTGCGAAACAGGCGCAGGATACGCCTGTGTATGGCGGTTTTGTAGCACAAAATCTAACATAGGACAAAATTTGAGTCAAGAAGCACGGATAGTTGGATATAACTACGGCCATCTACTGCGCCTGCATCGCAACCGCAGCATCTGGCCGGTAATGTGCAACTGGAGAAGTACGAAATGATGTTCTAGTCAAATTGAAACGAACAAATGTCTGCCTACTTTCTTAAAACTTGTGAAGAGCGAAAAACTTCAAAAGAAGTGTTTTGTTTTTGAGAAGTTTTTGTACCATCGCTAATTGCGATTTCGATGTCTCCTGAACGTTACCTGTAACTGGGAATAGATTCGTGACGAATTAAAGTTTGTGAGGCTGGTAAACCAGCAAGCTGGTCTCCCAGGATAATATTTCAGTGAGGCTGGTAACCAGCAAGCCGCGCTCTTCTTTACCGTGGTGGGTTCTCAGGAACCGAAAGTCCCCAATTGAGATTGCCTGGTCTGATGAGGCAGGCCATCGGTGACATAACTCCGTGGTCAGCGTCCAATGGCTGCGTTGACGCCAGCAACGAGCTATTTCATTCATTTTGCAGGTAAGGTATACTGTGCTCATTTAGTACTATGTTGTGTGCTAACGATCAGACGAGAGAGCTAGCGGAACGAAGGAGAGACGCATGGTGCGCTGATCTTGACCTTTTAACTTGAGGGCTTGGGGAGTAAATTGCGGAATGAGAAATACGTTAATAGGCCAAGTCCTTGGAAGTGGGCGCTTCGTCGCAGGGAAAAAAAGTATTATTCAAACGAACGATGCTCGTGTCACTGTCGAGGTGAGCTGGTTGGTTTGGAGAAAGACACGAGGTTGGGCATCTTCGGCGTAGGGTGATTGGGTATTGAGCAATTTGACATGTAAGAAATGCAGCCTACGCTAGACAAGTCATGTTGGTCATCTTCAGCTAAGCTTGGTCGATTATGGCGCAAATTAATACGCCTTCAGCGAAGCCATACAGAGTAATACATGTAGCCATTCGTAGCTTTAAATGAAATTGTTTAGGTTAACAAGTACTCTATTTCGGTTAGAAAGGTACCTGGTTTCGGTAAGTTACAATTTTTTTCTGCCGACCAAGCACAGGAGCCCTTAAAACGTGCCTTAAACCTGAGCTGCCAAGTACGCGCAGCATCGGCGACACCAGATCCGCCGGCACACTCAGGACACACCCGTTCTCGCTGTCCCACTCGAAAGTCGTTGCCCCGATAAGGGCTTAAGCTCAAACTCTTCGCCGTGCATCCCTCCCCCGATCAGACATCGCCAGTCTCGGGAAAGCGCTGATAAGCATAGATTCACCCAACACGAGTCATGTCCTCGTTGTCGTATTACCTGGGCCGTTCTCCATATTAACAGCTATAGTCTCAAAGTCGCGTTGACAAAGAGAAATGAACCTCCAGTGTTCAAGCATCGCCTCCACCCCTCATCCAGTGTCGACCACCACATCTGGAGCCATTGTGGCGTTAAGGAACTCGCGATGCTCATTCGATTCGTACACCATCAGCGACGCTCCGACATTGGCACGTACGCCGTTAGAGCGTAGCGGAAGAGACGGAAGTACTCCGCCACGACACTCCACGCGGTCGTCTTGACGATGGTTCGAGGGATCAAACTCTGCTGCTGTAGCTCGAGCTTCTGCACCTCTTAACGGAGACTTTGAACTTCCACCTCCACGGAATCGGTTCGGGACTGCAGCCGCTGTCTGTATCGCACTTGAGTGAGTCGCCGACGCTCTCGAAAGTTTCGAAGCGCGTTTACTTCAGCGGCTACCCACTCAAGGCTTTCATGATTGGCAGGACGAGCCGAACCGAAGGGAGGCGACGGAGCTGGAACGGCAGAATGGTGCGCGTACAATGAGTTACCGAACCCGTCAGGAATACGCCGGTCCGGTTCTGTGTAGTATGCGGGGCCAGCGTCAGGAACTTGTCGACCTTGGGCGAGATGACTTTGATCTCGGGCTGCTGGCCTGGACTGCACTGCTCCGATCGCTTCGTCATTGAGCCAGCGAGTGTTGGGTGGGCAGAGAGCGCTGTCCATTGGGTATTGGCGAGCGAGAGTCGTTTAGCTGGGCGTCGCAAGAAACAAAGTGAGTGGTGTTGCATCAGCAAAATACGCTACAGTCTGAGCGGACCACCAAGTTGCTGCTCTCGCTGTATAGCCCCATCTCAGCTCTCAACTCATCCTATCTTTTGGATTCGACTCGCCAGGATAAATCTGTTGAAAGCAGAGTACATGTATTAATACTTGAAGTACCTACTACATGCGACGTTTGCCAGGTGTTGATCGCGCTTTTCATAACACGACTCCGTGAAGTTGAAGCAGGCTACATAATATGTAGCCTATTATACACTGTATTATACAGACTGTGTCATATTGCGACTAACGTAGGTTGCTCTGAGTTTCCTCATGCCAACAATATGATTCATCACTATTTGAAAAAGACGCAGGCTGATTTCAAGCTCGCCTTGCTAATTGCTAGACAAAACGTGTTCCAACCGTTCTTGTCAGATTGGTGCCAACACGTCCGACTTGTGCTGCAAACTCAGCATGCTGCTCTTCTCGTTGTTGCAAATGAACTGAATGGAGCTATTGATCTCGAACCGCTGGTAGTGTTTGGAAAAAATCTCTTGCTCTATCCGCCGTACAAATTTTTTTCTTGCAATGCTCAACTGCGGACGGCGCCGCAATACCAATTCTCAATTGCAGAGACGCCAACGATTGCAATCTTAACTGCGACCGCGACACTTACTGCAGTCTCGTACTACGTGGTATTGCCGGTTCAACGCATGTTGCTTTCTAGAGTGATGAATCAAAAATGAGGTCTATCTCCCTTGCGGCAAACGGCGAGCTTATCCTCGACGGTCTCTGCGTTGGTCTCTCCCAAATTAGCTAAACCAAAGCCATTTTTAACCCCGAGCATTTGCTCAGAAGCTCCAGCTCGGGTGGCAAAACCTTATTGCAATTACCATATGGCACAATAAATGTATTATTGCGGCGACGGCGCGTATTGCAATTCACGATTGCAGCACGACCGATACTGCAGTAGCCGATTGCAGCATGAGTAACGACTCCAGTAGTAACTGCAGTGTTGATTGTGTCTGCCAATCGCCGCCAATTCATTTTTATCAAACACTGTCCGCTGGCCCAGTAGCTTCGTTTCGAGATGCCTCCCCCTCTCTGTCTAGTCCAAATTCGGGAACGTGTGCTGCAGCATACTCTTACATATGACGATGTTGATCTTGGTCGTGACTAGGATGCAGTCACCGGGCCCACTCTCCAAACGAACCACCTGGATCTCAAAGTTCGGCTGCGAAATCGACACGAGCGCTCCAGCGCTCGAGCATCGTCTCCACGCCTTGGTCATCATCGATAATCACACCTGGGGCCATAGTATTCCGCAGGAGGTCGCGGTGCATACGAGTTTCATACACACAAGCAGATCTTGGGCTGTTGAAGCGCTCCGACAGCGGCACGTACGCCGTCAAGACGAACCGGAAGAGCCGGAAATACTCCGCTACAACGTTCCACGGGGTCGTGTTTTCAATGATTCGAGGGGATATCATCTGCAGCTGAAACTCGAGCTTCTGCACTTGTTCGCGAAGAACTCGCACCTCCGTCTCGAGGTTTTGTGCTTGAGTCCGCAGCTTCGTCCTGTACCGAATTTGGATGCGTCGACGGCGTTCTCGGTGGATCTCGGCTATGTTTTCTTCACAAGCTGCGGTATCGCTCTCTCGGCGTTGAGGGCGTGTAGCTGACTGGGCATTCTCCTTTCGGAGACGAGGAGGGGGATACTGGAGCTGGGAGTCGGTCGGCGGCGGACGCTAGTGCTTCACGTGCTCTAAACTGCTCGTGATACTGGAGCGTTGCTCGGGCTCTCGGTTCATACGCAGAGGCAAGATCAGAATCGTGCCTTGCGCCATTGTTGTCGGAGCGGCTATGGGTCGCTGGTCTGCTGCGCTGTAGTACGGAGCCGATCACGTTGTCGCTCAGCCAGCGACTGTTCGGCGGGAAGAGAGCGCTGTCGGTCATTAGTTGTTGGGGCGCAAGACGTGGTCCGGGTGATGTCGAGGCGGCAGAAGAGCGAATGAGCCGTCGCGTGGCTTCTTCTACTCACAGGTGACCTGATTGCTGCCACTTTCGAAGCGTAATGCAAACACGACGTGATCCAGGATGACGGAGAGTAATTTCATGACCGTGGCAAATGTATCCTCCCTCCCACTCTGGATCTGCTTCGTGCTACCGTGCCGGCGTCATGAAGCTTGGGCTGACTGGGAGAATGACAGACACGTTAAGGTTTCCGCTATTCAAACTGCTCCATGCACTCCACAGCAGATGGAGTGCTCTCCATAACGAAATTGAGTATGACTGCGGCAAAAAATGAAGACACACCATCCGTCGCGACAGAGGAGGTCGGTTCTGTAGTTCCCTCGTCGTCTTCATAGCGGCTGGTTGCGACCCCGTCACTTGACTTGAAGAACAAGTAGAAGCAGTGAGCGCGCGCGCTGTTCGCCATCTTCGAGGCCACATCAACAGCCTTGAAACCAGTCAGCTGAAGCCCCAAGCAGATATCTCGTTGAATATCGCAGTCGAACGTGCTGCCCGACTACGACGGAGGCACCGTGGCCTCTGGCCCCTTGACAGTCACGTGGGTGAGTTAATACGCGAACTGGGCGTGGATCGTCGGAGCGTCGAAAGCTTCTGGGTGGTGAGCCGCGCTCATCTTGGCCGTGATGCGCGCAGTGTCCGGGAAGAGGAAGTTCGGCAGTGAGTCGCGTCGGCGGGTGTTCGACCTCGGAGCGGCGTCGTGTAATTGCCGCATAAGATGCCAAAACCTCGCCCACACAAGCTGAGAGGATACACCGACGTACGAATTGCGTCGACCCAAGTCCCCGGAGTGCTTCTGTTGCTGCTGAGCGAGTGCAAACTCGCGCCTCATCTTCTGGAAGTCGATGTATCCATCCAGGAGGCATTTCAAGCAGCCATATCCAGCACCTTCACAGATACGCAGGAAATGTGTAGGCGGAAGATCCCGAGCCAGCGCTTCCAGTGTTCCGACGAAGAACCCTCGGACGTGGGCCCACGTCGCTTCCATGTCTGTCACCTCGTTCACGACGCCATACAAATCTCCATCACCTTGCCACATCACCCGATCCAGTTCATGCTCACGCGCAACTTGTAAAAATACTTCAGCATTGAGCTGGTCACATTGAGTACGTCGCAGTGTATCGCTGTACATCAGCAGAATGTCGCCCAGATCCTGGGTGGCGTCGATAGACACCACGATCTGGGTGAACTCGGCCGACGTCAACTGTCCGTCACCGTTCACATCTCCAGCACGGAAGGCGTCCAGCAAGTGGCGCTCGCGTCGAACCTGCTCCATTCGCCACTCGGCGATCACCAGTTGCAGTAAATGGTCAACGTTCAGCACTTGCTCGCCACTCGTCGCCTCTGCTGGTGCTGCTGTCACAGTTGTTGTAGACGACAGCACTGCTGTTGGGTTCCCTTGAGCTGCGATCGTCGCGAAATTATCGCAGGAAGTGGCCACGTTCGTCTTGCGCACATCTCAAAAGCAGAGCTGCGCGATCTCCTGTGCACAATCGACGGAGATCATGCAATTCTCCTTGTCTGGAACGTTGAGGCGAGCACCGAAGCATGATCGTTTTGAGTTGACTTGCTCCACATATCCCTCCTGCACCTCGTCCAGCTTGACCTCAGTGAACACAGCGANCGAAGCAAAGTGGCCACGCTCCACTTCGTACGACCGGATCCACTCTTCGTCTCGCCCGATGCCAGGCACATGAGCGACTAACGTTGGTACCAGAGTGACTTCGTAGCCCTGCGTGTGAATCGCCAGCAACAATCGAGTGGGCGACGGTGAAGACACCTCAGCGTCTGCAGTCAGCAGCTCATTGACGATGGTGCAAAGCAGAGCACGACTCTCATCAGCCACTTCGTTGTCGCTGGACTCGGAGCTCAGCGGTTGCAATCGCTTCAGAATGCCGTGCACCAGCAAGCAATCCTGGAGGAGCTGGTGCTGCTGTACACTGGCAGAGGTAGATGCAGCCGCAGACATGCCCTCTACAGGCACCAAGCTCGGGTCACACTTGGTCACGTGGACGTTCGCCGCTGCTCGCACGTCGCGCACAAGTCCAAGTAGCACGCGCAGCAACGCTGGCTGGCGGAACACTCCCTCGTGGGCGTCTTCGACAAGGCGGAATGGCTCCTCCAGCACCTGCATGTATGTCAGGAGCTGCAATCTGCCTTGGTTTGTCTGCACTTGTTGTTGGCGCCAGAGTGCCTCCGGGAAACAGAGCGCGTGAACCAACCGCATTGATAGCGATATACTCGCTCCTTGCTCGCGACGCGCGCGAGTCTCATAGAGCGAGGCTAGTTGCGCGCAGAATGCAGCCACTTGTCGACACGATGCTGTCGACTTTTGCGAGGATAGTACTGCGTACGGAAGGAAACCATCGATCAACACCGGTAACTCGCGCATGAGAACTTCAATTAGTGCTGCCTGTAGCTCCAGCAACAATGTCTGAACTGCCGTCCAGGAAGCAGGAGACTGGACGACGCGGATGTCCGGCAGCTCACCGCGTTTCCGACGTCTGCGGAACCAGCTGCTGGTCAGGTCACGATCCGCTTCATCGCGAGGGCTTGCTGCCAGTGGGAGCAAGTTCAACGTCGTTCCTGACGGAGCTGATGCTGTAGCAGCATCGAAAAGCTATGGGTGCTCCTCCATCATCAGCTTCAGTAGCGTAGGTGCCACATATTCGAAGGCACCGCCTTGGTCTCCGTGTGCCAGCGCTTGTGTCACGATGTTCCGCAGCGGGAAAGCGCTCAGGTCGTAGTGCAGGCAAATGTCAGCGCCTGGTTCCATCGCGGCCGACATCGACGCACCCGAGACCACCGACGACGTAGAAACCAAAGTGCTCAGCTTGCTACCCGCCACCATCGTGGCGTGACGAAATCTGGTTAAACTGAAGCGCGTACGTAAGCTCCAGCACTCCACGCGCCCATACTAACTCATGATCCTGTCCTCTCTTGGGGTCATACGAACGAGTCAGGCATGGCGCTGCAAGCCACTTCGCGAGCGTGGAGCTGCGTAGCGGAACGATGGACAGCTGTAGCCGACGCGGAGCTTGCGCGATGGGGTACTCCAACGCCATGACGTAGTTCTCGATCCACTCCAGCAGCAGACTCACAAGCAGCGGACGAACAGGCAAGGCAGCTTGCTCTCCGACCTGCGTAGCCAACTACAGTGCTTACAGTAATTAGTCTGACCTCCAAATTTGCGTAAAAAGTGTAATTTTCATACTTTGAAGGCTACGAGGACGCTGAAGATGAGGTGGAGGCGCAATGATCCGAGGAAGCGGAAGGCTGAAGCTGCTGAGCCATGTAGTTTGCACAATTGTTGTAGTTCAGGACAGAGTATGATTACATTTTATTTGATATCTGTCAAGTGCGATGGGAATTTTCATAAAAAAGCGAATTTCTTTTGACTTTCTTTTAGTGATTCGACCAAAGTCACTTTAGTTGTTCAGGATCCCTCGCATAGCTCAACTAGCTACGTCGTACATCATTGCGGAATGTGACGCGAAGGTCGCTTGTACACAGTCGACCGAAT